ATGAGCCATTGCAGAATCACTTGGTATTTTCCCTGCTATATTAATAGTTCCACTTACTGTTGTATTAGGGGACAATGAAGTTGTATAATTGGAAACTGGTAAGATACTTTATAGCTTATTAGCTTAGGGTAATTATCTGCATGTTATATTATGCACTGAATTGTAATTGAAAATATTGCATTGTAATATTTAGGAGAAGTGGCAACCAAAAATAGTTAAATTGTTATATTAACCATTGACTTGCAATGAAAATGAACACATTTATTGGAAGACATTTCTGTAACTTGTAAACAGTGTGTTCCTTTTTGATAACTATTCTTTTTCTCTTGTTTCTTTTTTATTTTTATTTATTTATTTTATAATTTGCTGCTTGCCATTGCAGGAAGTAGAGGTTTGTATACAGCTTCTGTGTTTCATATTTAATTTTAGATTTTATATGAATCCTTGCATTTTAATTACTCATATGCACTCAATTCACATTATTTTCCCCCTTAGGATGATTATTTCCGCACTTGGAGTCCGGGAAAACCCTTCGATCAGGGTAAGAGTCTAACTATTTTAAAATAAAAATCTTTACATGTTCATAATCATTGTACTTTTAGAAATGATATTTATTGTGTGGTTAGGCTTGAAAATACTAAATACAAGAGCTTACATGAATGGAAAAATTTATGCAATGATTACTTATATTTCAGCATAATATTTTTAGAAGTAAGCAATTAGTTATCATGATTATGTCAGGATGTCTTTTATTTTTAGATACATGTTTTAGATGACTGATTTGGGCTTCTGAACGTTACCAGGTTTATTTTTATCAGTAGATACAAGTCACTTCATCCAGTTTTCAAGTGCATTCACTGGGCAATAGATTTATTTGTGCAAACTTTTAAAACAAATGGCTTTTTTTCGCCTCTTTTCCAATTAATAAAAGGTTTCCTTTAAGATGAGTAAATTCATAATTAGACTCAGCTGGGGTCTTAACAAGACCCAAAAGGAAAAATGTTACACAAAATTGAGGCTTCCCCACCTCTTTTCAAACAGCTTGCAATTCTGATTAACTTACCTTTAAATGGAAAACAGGAAATATGGATGAAAATGGAAAGACTTCTACATGTGCAATGAGAATGGACAAATCAACCCTAAGCAATCATATTACATAAATAACTAAAGAGATTTCTTTACGAAAGTTCACATTTAAAAAGTGTCTTACTTTTAAAGTTTCTTTTTGTAACTTTCTATAGTGTGTGCAAAGTAGGAAAAAAAAAAATTCTTCTTTACACAGAGTGTATGGTAACCGTGCAAAAGATAATACTCTGTGAAGTAGTCATACTTAAAAACAGAAGTCTTTGTAAGAGTGTTTAGGTAAGTGATTAGATGATGAAGACATAATATGTTATTTAAAGGAGCTTAGAGTATTTTGCTATGTTACCAGATTTTTACTTAATATTTGGGGTGAATGCTACAACACCCATGCTGTATGAGTGAGAAACCACCTGTGGGGACCTAGACATAGACCATCATCAACATTGGTATTAACATGGAGTCTGAAACGGTCATTCAAATCGGGTATCTTCTTAAAATGACTTTTTTTCTTATATATTTCATTTGATTTCACTATCATCCAGTGTGTGTTTGTGAGATCAGCATTTTAAAATTATAAAAGAATTATTTTTGAATTTGTTGCTAATAAGTCAAGCCAATGCTCTAAAACACAGGCAGTAAAAAAATAATGACATGCAGACAGAGATGTTATTTGCTGGCTTTCTTGGGAAATGAATTTTTATGATGGAATCATAAACCTTGTAAAATGGGTGTTAGCTATGGAATTTGTCATACTTGGTGCATCCAGTTATAATATAGATGCTTTTATTTTCCTTTATGTGTGCATGACATTGTGTTGAACTGCAATTTATCTCTCTTAAAAAAAGAATGCTATTTTAGAGTCTTCCGAACAATTAATGATACAAGACTGATTTGCTTTACTATTCAGAGAGGTTTTTAACCTACTAACTTAAAAATATTATGTTTATCAGGCAGGAATAAGCTTATGACATGATAATAGCTAATATTTATGAAGAATGTCCTATTTTGAGTGACTACTCCAAGTTTTTGATATATATTATAATTTAGTTGTTATAACCCTGCAAAGTAGATGATAAAGTTAAAATATTGAAAGAAGTTAAGCTTCTGCCCAGGTTATATTCCCACAGTGTGGCAGAGTGGGGATTTAGATTCAGTCAGTCTGAACCCCTAAACCTATTTCCTAATTGCTACACAATATTACCACTAACTTGAACAAATGTTAGAAATAAAGTTAAAACAATATTTTCTGGACTATTATCGGGGGAACCAGCCCCCAATATTTCAACGTAGGTTCTTTTCTATTTTCCCTAAGTGTTGGCTGGTCTGAGAAATAAATGGAAAGCGTACCAAAGAGAGAAATTTTAAAGCTGGGTGTCTGGGGGAGACATCACATGTCAGCAGGTTCCACGATGCCCCTGAACCTCAAAACCAGCAAGTTTTTATTAGCAATTTTCAAAGGGGAGGGAGGGTACAAATAGGGTGTGGGTCACAGGGATCACATTTCAAAGGCAATAAAATATCACAAGACAAATGGGCAGGGCAAGGTCACAAGGCCAGGACGAAACTAGAATTGCTGATGAAATTTCATGTCCCACTGTGCATGCATTGTCATTGATAAACATCTTAACAGGAAACAGGGTTCAAGAGCAGAGAACGGGTCTGACTAGAATTTGCCAGGCTGGAATTCCCTAATCCTAGCAAGCCTGGGGACACTGCAGGAGACTAGGGCGGGTTTCATCCCTATCTAAAGCTGCATAAGGCAGACACTCCCAGAGCAGCCTTTTTGGAGGCCTCCCCCTGGGAATGCATTCTTTTCCCAGGCTGTTAATTATTAATATTCCTTATTAGGGAAAGAATTCAGCAATATTTATTTATCTTACCTGTTTTCAGCAATAAGAGAAATATGACTCTGTCCTGCCCGGCTTCCAGGCAGTCAGACCTAATGGTTATCTCCCTGGTTCCCTGAACATTGCTGTTATCCTGTTCTTTTTCCAAGGAGCCCAGATTTCATATTGTTCAAACACACATGCTTTATGAACAATTTGTGCAGTTAATGCAATCATCACAGGGTTCTTAGGCAACATACATCCTCAGCTTATGAAGATGACAGGATTAAGAGATTAAAGGCAGGCATAGGAAATCACAAGAGTATTGACTGAGGAAGTGATAAATGTCCATGAAATCGTCACAGTTTATGTTCAGAGACTGCAGTAAAGACAGGTGCAAGAAATTATAAAAGTATTAATTTGGGGAACTAATAAATGTGCATGAAATCTCCACAGTTTGTGTTCTTCTGTCACAGCTTCAGCAGGTCCCTCCGTTTGGGGTCCCTGACTTCCCACAACAGACTGTCAGATCTCAAGTTTTGATTTCTTGAACATATATGGTTGATAAACATGTAATAAAGTTTTGTATCAAAAAATAAAAATAGAACAAAAATTAGATTGAGATATGTGTGTGTGTTTGTGGCTTTGAGTCAAATTAACCAACCTAGTTGTAGACCACACTGAAGAGTGAGCAAAATAATCCTATTTCCATCTAAATAGTATGCATCATCTAGATAGAAAATACATGAGATATGTTCATTTCTCATATGTTTCTCACTTTTTGATGACAGACTCTTCCTTCAAGTATTATTTTCAAAAGCTTATTGGTATGTTGAACATGAAACCATTTAAAATACTTTTTATGAGTATTTTTAGTTTTTAATTTACCATATTTTTCACTGAATTATGGACATCCATATTATATCAATATAAGTTGATTTTCCCCTATTTCATTTTTAAGAGGTTTGCATGTTTCCTAAAAAAAGTGAAGATAGCTGGGCGCTGTGGCAGGCACCTGTAGTCCTAGCTACATGGGAGGCTGAGGCAGGAGAATGGTGTGAACCCGGGAAGCGGAGCTTGCAGTGAGTGGAGATCGCGCCACTGCAGTCCAGCCTGGGTGACAGAGTAAGACTCTGTCTCAAAAAAAAAAAGTGAAGAAAAAGTTACCTTGTCATTATATTTTAATACTGGTATTTATACTATTTTAACAATTCATATATCCATTTAAAGTTATCCTTTCTTCAATTTCTATAGAATGCACCATAAAGCATGCAGAAATTAAAGTACCACCAATGAAAATGTTAATTAATATTTTATAATATGAATGGTGTAACTTCTCAGCACAAAACTCTTTTCTACATATGCATACATATGCAGACAAATACATACATACATAAACATATTGATTACATATTTACACATGGACAGACACATTTACACTTGCAAATTTGGTTCCAGGTAAAAGCAACTGATTGTTCATATACACCTGATCTACCTTTTGGTTTAACTGTGACATATTTTTCATCTCATTTAAGTTTCTTTTAATCAATCATTTTTCCAGTTTCTTTATTTTTTACCACTAAAACAGTAAGAGTTTTGGGGAAATAAAATGTTTTCAAATAAGCTTAAGTAGAAACTATTTTGATGATGGTAAATCTGCTGCAAAATGAACTAAAGCATGCCAATACCAACAATAAATTGGTCTGGATATCTCCACACTGATTTTTCTGTGA